AGAATCTCTATTGAGATCCAGCGCCACCATTGATGCACGGTAGAGATTGCATCTTTAGATCTCCGATCTTGCTCACAAACTCACGGTTAGAGCTGTCTCGTAAGAATTTTGTAGGACGCGTTAAGAGTGACAAAATATTCTCTGTATCTACCGGAACCGAGCCGCATAGCTTGTATTCCACTATTTGCATTCACACCTGGGCTGTATATTGCCTTGGTTTGGTTCTGTAATCATTAGTGGTCGTGGGACTAGTTTGGGCCCTACCTAAACTGGTCGAACGTTTCGTTTGGGTCTGTACCCTAGCTGTACTGATGAGGCCTGGAAGGCCGAAACGGATCCGTCTGCAGATATTGGGATTCCTTCCAGTGAATGCTTAGTTTATTTTGTCATTCTGATCGGATTTTCTCTACTGTACCGTTTTAATTTTAATTTTAAATTGTATTGCATTATATGGCCGTTTGCTGTTTTATGGGTTTTCCCTTTTGCCCTTCAACCTTATAATATAAATCAAAATAACTAAGTATCCACTGGAAAAAATAAATCCCAATATCTGCAGACAGATCCGTTTCGGCCTTCCAGTGCAACTAGGGTACAGAACAAGACGAAATGCTTTTGAGTAATTTATATATTTTTGATGAATAGGCCTATGTATTTTATTTAGGATTTATGAATGCCTACTATATTACATATATTTTATTTCATAGTGCCTATATTTATATATATATTTTATATGGTTCCTAAATGATCTAGTATATATTTTTTTATTGTGGACGATGAATCACTTCTTTGCCGACGTAGTATGAAGCATTTGCATCCTTTGTTCTCTTTGTTTTGTGATCTTTTGTTATATATTCACGTTTGATTGGTCATATTTTTTGACAAGCTTATGTCATTGAAGAGACAGAGTGGTCACTATTTTTTATAATGTAGCCACCTATGTACTATATATACTTGTAATATTTTCTATACTGTTCACTGACTTGATAAAGGGTTACGCCCGAAAGATCTCGTCTATTTTCTTAATAAATTGTGAGGCAAATCTATTACCATCTCTACGAGTTTTATTTTATTTTATATATTATATATATTTGCCTATGCAGCAACTCTGATTTTCCTGTTATATCGAAAAACGAATATAATGAAGTAAATAATATTAAACTGTATAAATACAACAAGATTTTGAGAACATGAACGGCATTAAGATCATAAGTTTATATATATAGCGATGCTATAATAGGCATACTGTATTTAAATTAAAACGCATTGTACGACCCACGGATTGTCGTTTTAAGTTACTATATAAATAATATTACACTTTAATAAATCAATTAAAATCATTTCACTTAGCCTCTTTTAAAGAGTACTTAGATTTATTGTTGTAATGTGGGTTGCAAAAACATGTGCCTACGATTATACCCAACAACAAATCTTTAGCTCTGTTTATACTGTTGTTTACATTTTCACTCAGATTCCGGTTTAATGCCATTGTATGAAAAGGACTCAAAACAATCTTAGAGCACAGTCTCCAGTTTGAAAATGAAGGCCTGAATAACAACACAACATTGGATACTGCAATTAAATTTAACACAATTAAGGCCTGCAGGCTTGTACAACTACAGTATGGTACATTCTCTACTTACCTATATGTATATTTTCTTACTTAGAAGAAACACCATTCCAAAATCCAATATTTCAGTTCTGGTATAGTTCACATACACGCTTGCTTCAACCGTAATTTGGATATTATGAGACAAGTGCACAACCAACCAGGTATCTGAAGGGAAATTGCTGCCAAGGACGTAGTGTCATACCAGGCTAAACCTACAAATTATTAGTTCAGCGCTCACCCCTTATTAGCGTCCACCCTCGAAATTGCCTAGCACTGGGGCCGAAAAGGTATCCGACCAGTTTGTCAAAATCCAGTTTGTCGAAATCCATGATTGCCGAATTAATGGCTTCTTGGCCGAAACCCAGTTTGCCGAATCCAGTTCACCGAAATCATGACAAAACAGTTTGCCAAAACCCAGATTGCCGAATCGTTTGCCGTCACCATCGTACATACTGTGCTTTTGAAAACATGATGGGTGGATCAGGGAGGAGCCATATTTACATTCCCGTATTTGTACCCGTGTAAACTCTCCGCTTTGAATAAACGCCCCTTCTAGAGCCTCATTTGGAATAAACGCCTCTTTCGAAAACAGACTGTGGCGTATATTTTTTCCTGGAATAAACTCCCCCTTGACTGTAAACAGACCTAATGGAAACATCATTCCCAACACGTACTAATATTTTACTCCAGTAGAATTACATTTTAATTACAGTGGAATTAAGGGGCGTTTGAGTATATACAGTAGGCCTACGTATCCATTTTACACAAAAAAATAAACGCCTACCTCGAATAAACCCCTCCCTCGAATAAACTCCCCCTCAAAACCATTCTCAACAATAAACGTCTGAGGGCGCTTATTTGACGAAATCGTCCGGGACCGAAAATGATAATTTGCCTATCCATCCACATAAGGTTATTTTGATTGTCGATTTCTAATATTGTGGTATAAAAAACCTCCCCCAAAAACTCCCAACGCGAACACATGGATTGTTTTTATGCCAGACCCTGACAGAGGCTCTAGTCATCCCCTTGATTCGGGTGTATAATTGTAGATTGTTATTATTTATTTATTTCATTTAGGTATACATATTATCTTAATTAAACGCTATACACTTATTATAACTATGCTTATAAGACATTTTATCTGACAGGCCTATTTAATTAATGTTTTGCTGATAGCTAAATTGTTAATCAAGTTTGATTTACAGAAAAAGACGATACTAATAATTAAACTACAATAAGCAGTTATTTATTTTACGAATAAACAGAGATCGCATCGCACTTCACATTTGGAAGAATTCTAAATTCTCAATTTCGCAATTCTGGAATTTGCCTCTTAACAATAGACATGTAATAAATAGTTTCTTTTCTCCCGACAAATCATGTAATTTTCTTTCTTCTTTGAGAGTGGAAAAGAACAATTTCCAATTATGGATGAATAAATAGATATATGTCTATGTCCTTATTTTCCGCTGGCTCCACCAGTTCGTACAGACGCAGTCACGGTAAAAGAGTGCTCCACCACGAATGTTATGCTGTTTTTAATGTTTCACTGCATTTGATTGATTTTCGGAAAACTGGGTTTCGGCAAAATGGGATTTCGGCAAAGTGGACTAGACAATCACGAACCTCACAACCAGTCCCTCCCACAGCCCCATTCGGACGTAATGCAGTGACGTACGGCGCAATAGATTTCCAGATATGAAGATCCAAATTTCTCGACAATCCATGCCAGGAAATTTTACCATGAGATTGTAAAAGTATAGTGTTCGCTACGAAAGTTTTTGATGGGAAGTCCAAGATCCCGTCTCCCCACAGGGGCGGATTTAGTGGTGGGGAGGAGGTTGAAAACCACCTTCCACATCCCTTTTGGGAGGTAAAAAAAAAGGGGAAAAAAGAAAGAAAAGGAAAAAATATAAGCCCAGAACGCCTCAAATGTTATTTTCTGGCGTCTAGAACACAATTTCGCGGGGGAATGCCCACGGACCCCCTAGGACAGTGTTGTCTCGATCGGCCCAACTTTCGGCCTCCCCTTTTGGACATCTCTGGATCCCGCCCCTGCCCCAGATCATCTATCCCTCACCTCCGCTGGTGGCGCCGACACTGATGTTTTCCCGACTTCAAATATAAAAACCTTTTTTGAGGAAGTGCCCTTATATGGCATTTTCTTCTTACTGATTTGAGTAGACATACATTACATTATAAACAGAGGAAAACAATAGAAAGTTGACTCATAAATATTGGGACGGTGTTCGGCAGTGGTACGGTAGTTTTTTTCCGTGTAATTTACTAAATTAGAAATACCGGGGGTGACTTGTGGAGGTATAATTTTACCTGCGTTACATTTACTGTATTTAATATATTGTTTTCAGTTTACTACATTTTCTAATCTGAGCCGACCCTTACAATGATATTTCAATGTAAATATTATGTTTACAAAATGGCTATCAAAGGATACTGAACCAACAGCTCTACCTCCCATACTACCCAGGAGATAGTGAACCATTCCGGTAAGCCCCAACCCTTAAGATTCACCACATCTTGTACAACCTCTCATGTACCCTCTAATCATTTGAATATATAGGCCTATGGAGAGAGGTCCTCTTTTGCAATTCACAGTCGATCACTGGCGATCTTTCAGATTTTATTTGGCGTATACAATATGTTTCTACATTGGTTATTAGTAACATATTAACACTATTACAGTAGGCCATACAATATTATAAACAATGAATGAGAGTTAAATGAAATAACAATTACTTAATAAATTGAACATTTGCTAAACGGATAGAGCTGGGAAGAAATGAGTTTCTATGCCTATTTGTTTTGCTATTTGGTGTGATAATTCTTCCAGATCGGCTAAAGCTAATCGCTATTTGGTGGGTAATTATTGTCATTAACATTAAGTTTAATGAGCATGCCCTTTTCACATATTGTATCATGTCATCTACTTCAGTTCATATTACTTTGTTTGCAGTATTTATGATTCTTGTGAGTTTAAGTTTTTCTCCTCTTTTTATAACTGTTAACCGTTGTCTTAAATCATTCCTTTGACAAACTCCAATTCTTTTTCGCTGATCTGTAATTTGTTTCAAATTTTCTTGTAAACTACAGTATTTATTCTGGTATGGTTCTTTTCTGTTGTTTTGGAATGAGTTATACAAGTATACAGCCATTGGGCTATGACCGATCTCCTGGGCTCTTTTTGGTGAGATCGGCTCACTAGGGGATGCACCAAGCTCCCATTCCCCTTTGAATCGCCCTGAAATTCTGGATTTACTGTACAAACATTGCACGACTTCAAATTCATAGACTGATGATAAGGAATGGAAATACAGCAGTTTTAACTAAGAAATATTGCAGGTCAAAAATTAAAGACGCTTAACGAAAATTTTCATCCATAATCCCGGTCACATTTATTTATTATAAAAAAGGATAGGCCTACTACAAAAAAACAGATTTTATTTATAATTATATATTGGTACAAAAATACAAACAAAAACATACATTTATTGTAGCATTACTCTTATTTATAACAGTCTTGTGATACAAATATACGCATCGAGTATACTGGCCATTGTTTGCTAAATACGTATGTTTATTGTGGTTATTTTGACTTTTCAATTATTTTTCTTTAGTTATTCTATTATTATTCTGATTTTTTAAGAATTTATAAATGTAGGTCTAACACATAACGGAGTTGTACATGGTTTATTATTATCAATAATTGACAATCAATATTACCATCACTTCTTGCATAATATAACGGTGCAAATTAAATTTTCTATGAATTTCCATGGTATACAAATGAATTTCATGAATTTTATTTGCGTTTTCTATGCTAACCCCTTTCTTCCTATGTTACCCTTCTTAATTTTTATCATGTTTTTTTTAAAAACAAAACAGGAAAATGTGGCACAATCTTGGAACATTCTTCACCAATCAGTGAGATGATAACAGTTCACAGTGTGATGATGATGAATGATGGTTCACTCTTTTTTCATTCCCATTTCTCTTTTTTTCTGCTTTGTTAAATTGCTTGATTTTTATTGTTTTAATCTTTTTATTATTCGATATCTAGACTGTAAGAGTTTATTAATATCTATAAATTTATATATTTATTGTTATGTATTGTTGCTTAGGGAGTATGGAATCCTAACTTCTGCTAGTGTGATTTATTTTAGTTCCCTATTTGGTTCCTGCCTACTCCCTGAGTTGACTGTATGCGTATGTTTTTGTATTGTTTCTGGCAATAAAGAATAAGAATAAGAATATGATTTTAATCAATCAATCTATGACATATTTTAAGTACTGTTTGTACACTCAATTTCATAATTAATCAACATTTTAAGTTATCGTACCAATGTACCCAATGACCAATGTAATTTCTGTGAGGACAGATACACTTGGTTCTGATTCAGATCTTATACCTAAATACAGTACTGTTTATATTTATTGTAGTGTTAGTAATCATTTTGAATTAATATTTTCTAGTAAATACATTTGGGTGATTGGTCTCATGTACCACCTTTTGTGACCAATAATTGAACTAAATGGTTGCATTTAAAAAAAAAAAATTTATAAAACCATAGACAATTGTATACTGAGATAAGAAAATGGTAATGAACAAATGCTAATTAATCACCATGAACTCTCATTATAAAATACTTGTTTATTACTGAAATACATATTTCGAAGTCCTCTGCAAGCATTTTGAGAAATTATGGATATTTATAATTTAGAATTTTCCGCAGATTTTATCCATTTCATGATAGTAACTTTCTCCAAGACCCTTGCTTCTCTGACTGAAATGGGATCCTTTACATTCGGAGTTCTGAGATCAAGATGGTGAGCCCCATCAGGAATCAGAATGGTAGTGATGTCATCAGAGGTAATGTTGAGCACTCCACCCCCAGACCAAGGATCAAGCATTCCATTGCTAAAAATAGGAATGAAAAATAAATATGCATTATTCAAATTTCTGAAGAATTAGTAATAATCAATAAAACTTTGGGCTTACAACCTGCTCTTGGGTTCAAGACTGAAGGTGGCTGCCTGGACAAGTCACTCTATCCACATCATCACTCTCCATCAAAACATTTAAGAGGTTCCCTAGTATGTTTGAAACTAAATACTACTTGCATCACTCTAGAATATTTCATTAGGGTGCGAGATGAGGTCAAACACCAAAGAAACATGTGATGTTCCCATAGGGGTGTTTGATCTAGTTGATTAGTGATAAATCCACCTGGAAGACTACCTAATGTATAGACCACACATAGCAATTTGCTTCATGGTTCATGTTAGATGTTAAAGGTCTGCCATCATCATCATGACTGATGGAACAACCATGATTTATTATTTTGCTGTTCTTCACCTATTTTACAAAATTTCATTATGATTTTTAATTGTGTAAATTATTTATTTAATTAATGTATGACTTATAAATAAATAAAATTATTCATATTTGTTTACCTAAATATAATGTTACTTGCCGCTCTTAAATCCTTCGCCCAATAATGTACAGGAATCCACTCGGGTCTCGGAGTCACGCCCCAGAATTTCTGGCATCCTTCAGCATAAGTTTGTATGTTCCATGGAGAAGGTTCAAACATGTCATTCTTACCATCTGAACACATTGGCATCACCATCTCCTGTCTCTTATACAAATCT